TGGTTTTTAAAAATATTACTTTTTATTTTGAATTTTTTTATTTTAAACTATGATTTTTTTAATTTTTATTTTATATTTTTAAAAAATTATTATTTTTTAATTATTATTCTTCACTACAAAAAAAGTGGTTTTTAAAAATATATATTTTTATTTAGATTATTTTTCTTAGTCAAGAGTAGTCAACACTACTACAAGACCACTACAAAAGTAATAGAACTTTTATTTTAAATTAGGGATACAAAACTCTTTATAGAAAAACAATACTTTTACGACTTTCATGAGTTTTATGCTGATGACAACCAAAACTGAAATGAATGAGGAAAAACTGGATCCTACCACGTGATTTTTCAGCCAATAAAAATACTCCGACAACAAATATCTTTTTACCTGACACGTAATAATTTGAAATAATGGAATCGACAACAAAAGACAATCTCGAAAATATTTTTTTTTAAAAATTTTAATTTTATTTTACTTTGCATGTCTTTTTTCTCTTCATTTTCATGCATTGTCATCCAATTCTGAACTGTGTGCTAAATTTGAAGTTTGTAGCTAGTCGGGAAGTTAATTAAAAATCGATTGCAAAATTCCACCCGGACAGACATACACGAAGGCAAGTTTATATAAACGTGGTAATAAAATAACAAAAAAAGGGAACACCTGAGCCGATGTTAGAAAACAAAGTGGGCATAATTAAAAAAGAAATCGTTGAATGAGAAGTAACTTGGTCAAGCCTACAGACCAGCAACATCCAGTTAAAATTTAAGAATTAGAAAGCATGGAAAACAGACAATTGGGATAGGTTTAAAAATCTCAAAAATAAATGAAGGAAAGAAAGAATTAACGGTTGCAGTATACGATTTTGTATAGAAAAAAAATAAATAAAATACCTTCAATGACGTACCATTTGGTTTGAAAATAATACTTTTCTTATCCACCAGAAATTTAATATCAGGCAACGATCTCTGAATTTAAAGAAGAGCTAATAGAAAGTTGAAACCGAAAAGAGAAATGAAATTTTGCGAGACAAAAAATAATATTCATTAAATTTACATTTAAATTAAGAAAAAACAGCTTTAAAATTTCACGGTATAAGCTGAGACTGTTATTAAATTAAGGGTAACTAAAGATTCAAAATAAAAATAAAAAAAATGGAAAGAGTCAAATAAATGTGTGATTGTAACATTACTCTAAAAGTGTAACTATGACAGTATGTATGTAAGAAAAGGGTGAATATCTTCATAAATTCTGATCTAATGATCAGATTTTTATTGTATTAGGACTCTATCTTACTGGTTCTAATCAAGCACCCAGATAGCAAATTAAGGTTTACTCTAACTTAGCAAAAATCTCTTAATGTAAACCCTTAAAAGGTTTGTGATGCGGCTCACGTGTAAACCTTCCAACCTTCAAACGAGATCTGTAACAATTCTCTCTATTCTACGCACATTACCCTGATAAAAAAATCTTGGAAAACAACCTTCTACATAGAAACCTTAAATCGAGGAGCATTGACTTGGATCTCGTTATTTTGTTTTCTACGAAATGCATATTTCCATGAAAAGGCTTTATGTGCGTAGTTAGTTGTGTATTGTGAGGAGCCTAGTTGGTGTGTAATATGAAAAAAAAAAGAAAGTTGTTGAAACATATTGTTACAGATTAAACGTTCCTTAATATCAGCTGAATGTCATTAAAAATTTTACCTCTGTTTTAGCACTTTTTGCTAAGAATTTTGGAACTGTTTTATCTTTTCTGAAGACGACGTCAAATGATTGTCATGCAGTTTTCTTTTTAAGGAAAACTCATTTGAAGATCAAGAGAGGGGAAAACGGTTTATATACATGAAAGCTGATTCTGAGGAAGAAAAAAAATTGAATTGTTTTAGGGGCAAGCATACGATTGAAATTATAAAAATATAAGTATGGACGGATGTAAATTAATACGCGTGATATCAAAACTGTCTCTCGTATTTACTTACATTTTTGATGTTAGAAAAAAAAATTTGAAAGTCGGGCATGGCAAGAATCGTTTTTTTTCTTCTTCTTTTTCTTCTTCTCAAAACTCTTTATCAAAATATGCTTCCATACTAGTATTCCCTTCCTCTACTTCACCATTCTCTTCTCTGTCATCTACGCGTGTACAGAGATCATTTTTATCCAGCGTGACTCATCTTCACTATGTAATAACTCTCGGGTAGGGCTGATTTTTCCCTGTTATTGATTTGTTAAAACCTAGCAATCGTACTGCAACAGATAGCTATTCAATAATCATCGTTCTGAAAAATGTACACAAACCGCTCTTTCAATTGTTTTTTTTTTTGCTTTTTACATTTTTACACTTACAAAATTATCTTCAAATCTACCATATTATGATAAAATTTACCATGTGTCTGGCTCTATGGGAACACCGAAAAGGTATGTGATTCTCACCGATGTGCTTTGGTTAGGATTTTGGTAAAATTAACAATAAAATACGGGACTTAGGAGCAGTTTGAAAACAGATATTTTCAATTTTGCTTCGATAAAGATTATAATAGAGATGTATGTGTTATCTTATTGTTTACCATTTAAAGAATCTATAATCGTTTTAAAATTAAAAATACGTTTTTTATAAGGGAGCAATAATTTTTACACCTTTGCAAAGTATCTCAAAGTACAACCCCATGTCGTACCTAGGGATACAGTGAATTATATCTTTGGGATGCAGAGTATTGTACCTTGGTGCTAAATGAAAAGTAAGCAAAGTATTGAAAATAAATCTTATTTAATGACTATAAAATACAAACCATTAGAGAAAAAATTTTAAAAAAAATTATCTAGTTCATGAACATGGCATATGTACTAAAATTCACAGGATGATTGCTTCTGACGCACTGAAGATACTGTTGCTGAGGTTGAAGGCAATCTATCTATCTTATTATATAAAACGCTAATACGTACGTATGTATCAATAAAACCGATGATATTTCTTTTCTCGCGCTGGCAACAGTTTTCATTTTTAATTGATAGGATTTGGCGCGCAAGAGCACGTAGTGAGCATCATATGGCTAATCCATGTTATATAAAACGCTAATACGGTTTAATTGATAGGCTTCGGCGCGCAAGAGCACGTAGTGAGCAGTAATATGTGAACTGTTTGCAATTTCAAATTAATATTGAAATGTACAGGTTTAGAATTTTCTACAGTGAAAAGTTTTCGGAACTTCAGTGTTCAAAAAAGTATACAAAAGCTAGACGTTAAGAACGTATCCAATGAGCGAGCAAAGCGAGCATCGGATTGCGAAGCAATCCGAAATGAACTGCGAAAGCAGTTCCAGGGGTTGGTGAGCGCCAGCGAGCAGTGGGCGAAGCCTCCTAGTTTACATATTATTTCTTCATCTATTTCATATAAAGTTTCATTTCTTGAAAGGGGAGTGCTCTTACCCTTTTTATAAGGTACTATATTCGTCCTAAGGTACAACTGCAATTGTGTACTTGCACTTCAAGAAGAAGACCTCCCATACCCACACATGTAACCTATGACGTCGGCGTCAGCTAATCTTTATCAGCAAAATTGCGTATTAAAGTTGAGCTAAGTTTCTCTGAGCTAAGTTAGAACACTAGTAAGTTAATTAAATGTACAGCCGTAGCGTTCATTTTTCCAATTTGAGGAAACGTTTTTTGTGAGCTACGGTTTTTGAAAAGATGCTTATTTGCGTATGATTCTGTTATTCCGTAGTAATATAAACAGTCCCTGATTCTTGTGGCACACATTTGTGGAAACAGTACTAAGGAACAGTTTAATGTAAAAAAATGCCGTATTTCTATTATTTATGTGGAATAATTTACTTTAAAAACTTACAAATTCAAGACAGAGTTAGCTTAAATTATTCAATAATAAGAGAAGAGTTACACTTACCGAGGACAATTAAGATATTCTTAATTCACTTTATTTTAAAAAAGTAGAATTTTAGAATCGAACAAAATAAAATTTCCTGAAAAGTACATTATAGGATTTTATGTTACTAAATATAAGATTTCAAAAAGCATCAAATATTATTTCATTTCATTTTCTGAAGCACTGCTAAATGAAAAAAAAAGGATCTTTGTGTCATTTTCTTTATTTTTCAATGCCTCTGTGGAAAATTGTGAAGAGTTTCCTTTAACATTTGAAACGTGAGAAATTAATTTTGACTTTTTATCAGTTTCTAAAAAATTAGTAGTATTAGTTACTTTAAAAACGTTACTAAAACATAGTGTTTAATCAAAAAAATTCTAAAATTTTCAGTTAAAGTTCTCGGTGAATGTATAAAATAGACCTTAAGTGTGAGAGTAATTTTGACTAAACTAACAACATACTTGCTTACAAAATTATTTCAAGTTTTATTAAAATTTAAATTTAAATTTAATAAAAATCTAAAATTTTACCTTTTAAAGTTCCCGGTAAGTGTTTGAAATTAGTCTTGCTAATTTTAGCTAAACTAACGGAATACTAGCACATAAAAAGATTTTGAAATTTTACCAAAATTTTTATATTAATTTAATTAAAAAAAATTCGAAAATTTTCACTTTAAAGTTTCCGGTAAATGTTTAAAATAACCCTTAAGTCTGGATGTATTTTTGACTAAACTTGCAAATCATTTTTTCAAAAATTTGTGAATATGTTCTGAAATTTCTCCCGAGTCATTTAGAATTAACATCATTTTTTCCTGTTTACTTGACCGGAAATGTTCTTTATGTTAACGAATATTCTAGTATATTTGATAAAACGAATATAATTCATTTGTTAAAAAGTTTCCTGTTTTCATTCTTACTATACATTCCTGGAAGAGAACTAAAAGAAATAATGATTATAGCGTGATATTTAGAAGCAATAAGCATATTGACACTCAATGTTTTAAAATCGTGTGAAAAGGCAAAAATGGAAAACTTGATTTCATGATACAAAATATTTGTTAACATGTGCAAAATATCACGCAATGTATATGGGTATTAATGGTATATATACGCGTCAGGTTTCTATGCTATTTTATCGATTTTGATAATTAGCTAACATTGCAAGATATTTTTCCTTCTGTAGAAGAGCTTCAACATGAAAACATTTGTAAGTATTAACATCTATATTGGTCATTTTGCATTGGTTATATTTAGTATTCGTTATACAATAGTTTTCAAAATGCATTTAATTTTCTCATTTTATGTATAAATAATCTGCTATAATTGCTATTTTAAAAACTGTAAAATATGTAACGCTACTCAAATCAAAATTCTTGAGGGTCCCATCAAACAATTTTGATGGTTTATGTTGGTTTAAGTGCGGGTCCAACATGATTTGATGGTCACCATCATCCAACATCAAACCATTATGCGTTCATGGTTTTTGATATGTCAACAAACTTCTATCATTCCATGATAGAAAATGTTACTTTAATACACTATGATGGCTAACAATCAAGAGAATTTTGATGACCAACAATCTATCATGATCCATGATGGTCCATGAAGCTTCTCCGAAATAAACTATCAATACAATTTTATGTTGGCTTATCATACATCTTGTCCAAATACCTATATAAAGGTTATGGTGGTTCATAATCGTTCCAACATTTGATTTCTAAGAAACTATGATGGGAATTTCTGATGGTTCAACATGAAGAAACCATTAAGGTAGCCGTTGAACCATCATAAATCTGTTCGAATTCCTACATTGGGACGATGGTTGTTCACGATTGTTCCAACATTTGATTTCTAAGAAACTATGATGGAAATTTCTGATGGTTCAGCATGAACAAACCATTAAAACAAGTTGAACCATCATAAATCAGTCCGAATTCCTACATTGGGACGATAGTTGTTCACGATTGTTCCAACATTTGATTTCTAAGAAACTATGATGGAAATTTCTGATGGTTCAACATGAAGAAACCATTAAAACAAGTTGAACCATCATAAATCTGTTCGAATTCCTACATTGGGGTGATGGTTACTAATGTTGGTAACCATCAAAAAATATAATGGTTTATGACGGAGCTATTGATGGTCACCTTCAAGGCGATGTTGGTTCATCAATGGAAAACCATCAAAAATATTGACCTGGGCATTTGGAAGAAATTTTTCTTTGTTTCTACAAATCTTTGTACCTGTCTTCAGTAAAACGTTTTTTTTTGTCAATTTAAACAAAAAAAAATTATTCTAAAGAAAACAATTTAATAAAATTAAAAAAAAACTATGTTTTTCAAATTCAAAAAGAAAATCATTTTCTTTATGAAAGGACTATGATAGAAAAATACAAATTTTGGGCAAATCATATTTGAAAAATGTGGAATTCATTTTTGAAGTCATTTTCGAAGGTGATAGAAATTTACAATAAAAGTTATGCCTCTTACATTTTAAGCATTTGGTGTGATACATATACATATTTTTCTACCTACATACCTACACATACCTACCTACATACATATTCTACCTACATACCTACCTACATATTTTTATTTGGTGTGATAAACGTAAAATTATCGTCTCGTTTTAAGTCTATACTTGAAAAATATAATTTACTTGTATTCATTTTCATTTTTTTTCTTATGTTTCATTTCACACACCTTAATTTGCTCATATTGAAAGCTGGGTGTGTGATACCATAACATATTTCCTTTCAAAATTTCTTTAATTTCTTAAATTTATTTTTTAATCATTCTTAATCAAGTTTTTATTAAATTAAACCAATTATTTAATTTTAATTACATTTTATAAAAAGCTACTGTAAATATTTAATTTTTTTCTTGACAATCAATGTAACCGCTAACTTTTCATTTCAATACAAATGTAAAACTCATTAATTCACTGTCGCGACTAAATTGATTACAAAATCTGTTAACTAGTCTTTATTTCTCACCACAAAAATGTTTCAGTTACATGGCTATACTGATTCTCACAGTATTTTTGGCTATTCGCTTTTGCCAAATTATTTTCAAATCTAATATTGATTTTGGGGGGCAGGGGAGGAGGGACTGGCTTGATTTTCGTCTATGTTATCTTTCGATAAATCGCCAACCATGGATCTCTTCCCATGCTCCTAACGGTCCGTTGGGAACAATTCACTTTGTTTTTAATTTGGAATTATTGGCGAACAGACTGGGGGGCTCCAACCTCTCATTAAATTTATATTTTTATAAAAACTCAATTGAATTTTATTTAAAAATTGAATTTATATCTCAACCATTGAATTTATATCTTTATAAAAATTATTGACGGGAGGAGAATGATTCTCTTGGTCCATTTTAGGTACATTTTCTTGCTTATTTTATAATTTTGAAATCTGGTCGTGTTCGTCATAATAAGATTTACAGAATAAATCAATATTTCCTAAGCGTTTTTATTTATTTTTTGGGATTAATATGCCTCCTTCATATCCAAATTAGAATGTATAGCACTTGGCCAAAAATTGACTATTAATTGACAGTAATTGATGATTAATAATTTATAATTTAACTAATTGACAATAATTGATCATTAAATGATAAATTGACAAATAACTATATACACTATTTGGTAAAAAATTTGAACTAAACTGCCATAAAAGTGTAAAACTTCGTTTGACCATAATAATTGCTTGCATGATTTGGAAAGCAATCGCAACTTGTATTAATGGCATCAGATACACTTGAGCATTCTAGCTAGTCGGAAAGAGTCTCGAATTTAAATTGATTTTAAATTAATTTTGGTGATAAATCTGCTTTCAGATTTTAGGAACTGATGGAAACTTATACTGTCATTCAACACAAGTTAACACTTGAGTGCACTAGTTAGCTGGAATACTTTAATTAATGTTTTTGGCAATAACAATGCGTTTGGAAATAATAAACTTTTAAAACTTAACGATGTCATCAGAAAAAGTACTTCAATATAAATTTCTGGAATTTCCATTTCAAAATACGTACGAAAGCGAATTAAAGGTGAGGAAAACAACCTATAAGAGTTTTTAACTATTTCAAAAAAATTGATTTTTTTCCCTTATTAAATTATTAAACTTTAGTAGTGTGCTTATAATGTGAACAAACAGAGAAAATTGTTTTACTACGAACATTTATGTATAATTAAAAATAAAAAAAAATATATGTAATTTATCAAATTATTGTAAAAATTGTTTATTGTTGACTACTGTAACAAAATATTCCAAAACTGAGTTTTTTTTGTTGATTTACAAGACTTTTCCATCTATTGATTGAGTTATCAATTATTACTTATGCATAGTTCCTCATAACTAAATTGTTTCGAAATTTAAGGTAAATGATGCAAAGTTCGCCAAAACAAAAAACGAACAACTTTTGATTTAATAGTCGGATCTTCACGTTTTAGGACTCATTCTTAATGGTTCGAGGGTTTGACCTCAAATATGCTAATTAATTGTTACAGACGATATTTTAAGTTGCAAAATCAGACACGAAAACGTACTTTCTCTAAATAAACATACTTTTTTTCCAACGGTTTAGGATTTTTGACTCTTGAAAAAAGTGGGGGTACTCGCAGTCTGGGAAATATGGTCGCCATAGTTTGGTCAAGAGCGCGCGCGATAAAAAAATTGGACTCTTTAATGTTAATTTTACTTTTTGCGGATTTCGCCTTGCCTCGAGAAGTGAATTGAAAATGTTTTGCATGAAATTATAAAAAATCTGTTTAGCCAACGATAATTGCACGGAAAAAATAAATTTTAGTAAATATTTTTTATTTAGTATTTTATTAAATAATAATCAAAAAATTTTGTATTGTAAGGTATACAATTTTTACATCATCTTAATGTATATAATTTAACATGATAACTTATGTCTCTATCACAATAAGGTAAATAGGATATTCTTTGCTTCCAGCTTGATTAATTTACTCGTAATCTCCGCTATCGACACTAAAATCCATGCATAAAATGAGGTAAACATTAGTGCATTAGTGGTTGCAAACTAATGTTTAAACGATAAAAAAAAATTCTGTGGAACCAATAGGATCTAACAGAGTTGTCTATAGAATCTGTAGAAATAGTATTTAAGCTCTAGAAAGACTGAAATTTAGTATATACCTATATGGCCCAAAAGCAGTCAAAATGACTTAATTGCAAAAGAATAAATAATGTGCAAAAAAATTTGTTTAAAATTAATTTTTAATATTTTTTATATTATTTACAGTTATATAACAAGTTATTAGCAAATATTACCAATAAAAAAATTATATGTTCTACAAAATTCTAAGAACTCGCGTTGCATACATTGTTTTTCCCGTCATTACTTATTGTTTTTCTAATTGAAATTAAAAGCAGTCAAAAGGCAATCTAGTGTTAAAGAGATATTAAAAATACCAAATGAGTTTGATTGCCTTGTTATAAGAGTGGCGATAATTAGAAAAACTTTAAAGTTTTGACAACCATTTCAGTTTATAACAGATTTTAACGTTTTTAATTCATAAATTTTTTAGTCAAATTTCGGTAGGTTTTTTTTCTTTGCTCAAAAATTATTTTACTTAAGGGCACTTCTTTTTACTAGGATACTGTAGATAATATAATTAGGGTTTGAATGACGGAATGACCTGCATACACTACCGGTCAAAAGTTTGCGAAAATTTTGAAATCTGCAAAGAAAAGGTCTAAATTCAAATGTTCGCAGAACTGCGAAAAATCATTCAAATTGCATGAAAATTTGATATGTTCTAATTAACCCTCTACAGTTAGTTACATATGATCAAATTGCTCGAACTGAATCTAGATTTTTATCATAGGTTATTTTTATGGTGAAAAACTTTGTTAAGTTTGAACACTTGCCAAATTCGCAAATTTTTTTTGTACTTTCTGTTAATGGAAAATAGTTATTTGAACTGCTTTATGCAAGCCCTCAAAATTTCAGATCGATTTGATTTTTTTTGACGAAGTTACAGAATTTTGAAAAATATGTGTACTTTTCTCGATTTTTGAGCATTCCACATATGCAGTCTTTTGATCTATACATCTTCTACCAAAGAACTTTTTAATTTTAATGTTTTCTATATTTTCAAATAATTAATATTTATTATAAAACAAATACTCTTATTCATTATTGTAATTATTATTGTTTATATTTATTGTTTATATTTATTGCTTACCTGTATTAGTTTTGTTGTGATATTTTTACTTTATATTAAATTAAATTAAAAAGTTATAACAATAATTACATAAATAATTCTAAAAAAATAATAATTGTTTAATGCTCTTTTATTTCCTCTAAGAAATTAAGTGCAT